TCATTGTATTTATCTACAAAGTCCTTGAAGATGACATTGATTTCTCCAATGGTGACCTCTCCTGACTTCAGATCCTGATACAATTTCATGAACTTTTGGTAACAAGGCGAGTACAAGTACTCAAAGGCCTCTATAAGCTCAAGGGTTCACCTTTCAGATTCTCCTTGGGGATAGCTTAATGACTCTGCAGCTTCTTCCCAGAAGATCTGGAAGATGTGGCTGTCCATCAGGGAGTCTATCCTTGCAGCCATTTCCTGGACCTCACAGTCCATGTTATAGTGTGTCATCTGCTTGCAGGCTGAGGATGCTGGCTGGCTCACCCTCATGGCTTCATTCAGTCTTTTGTGGTTCAGATCTTCTGAGTGTCTTGCTTCAATCTCTCCAAAGTCCACTTGGGAAACCATAGGAAACATGGAAGTTAAACTGCTAGTCATCTTATTTTACTTTCCTAGAATTTCTAATCATTTCTTTAAGAAAACCATTTCTTTAAGTGAATACCATTGCTGGGATTTTTGTTTCAGTAAGAATTCATCCCTCCTCCCCTCCATCTTGCCTTGGGTTTGCTCATCAGTTTTAATAATTAAAAATAGACTGTAAGCTCTTGTATGGAGGGGACAGTTGGAAACACACATTTATCCCCCACCCCCAAATCCCACTCCTGTGGTAGATTAGAAATTACTTTTGAAAAATCAGAATCAGCAGGAACGAGAAGAGTAGAAAAGGAGACTGATAGCAACACAAGCTGGGAAGTGGAAAGACAGCCACACCGGTGGCAAAAGACACTTGGGGCCTGAGAATACAGAACCTGAGGCCAGAGCAGACATAAGCTCAGCCAGGCCTAGCACCCTAGACTGGGAAAGGCAGAGAGGGAACTGGAATTGGGTTCCAAGTCTGTTTAAGAAGCAGTTGGTGAGAGTCCATCTCCACCATGCAGGCAGATGGGGGCTGCTCTCTACCTGGCAAGGGGCAGAAAGGACCACCTGCAGGGCTCTTAGGCCTGGAGGCTACTTCTAAACACACACCTGTCTTGGGCAGCTCCAGAGGACAGGGATTATTCAATCTAAGGACCAAGAGGATGACATAGCCACCAAGGCAGGAAAGCAGAAGTAAAGCAGAGACTCCACCTCCTCCTCTCCCTCTTGGCTCCAGAAACCTTGCGGCAGGTAGGGGCTGCAAATATAATCATCCCTCAAGGACCAGGTAAATTTAGGGGCAACCACAGTACCCCAAGGGCCTTGGCCCAGAAGCACTCAACCTATCAATCCATTTGTGGGGACTGCCTTCATAGACACAGACAAACAAAAATCTCCAACTAGAATAGGAAAAGCTTTAAAGCGGGAAATAGATACCAAAACCTCAACAG